GAGTAGTACCATGCCTCTTAACACTGTCTCTACTAGTTTAGCAAGACTAAGTTCTCAGCACACTTGTTTTTGAGAAATGGGGTAGAACTTTTGCAGGGGTAGGAGACAAGACTTAAGCAAACAATGATCAAGTACTGGGACCCTAAAAAGAGTGAGACCCCATTTCTACCAAAAATAGAGTGGTGTGCACCTTAGTCCCAGCTACTCTGGAGGCTGGGGCAGGAGGATCTCTTGAGCCCAGGAGTTGGAGGTTGCAGTGAGCTATGATTATGCCACTGCACTACAGCTTGGGTGACAGAGCAAGACCCTGACTCTAAAAACAAACAAACAAACAAGAACCTGGAGTCTCCAGAAGTTGATGAGACTGGCTTTCCCTGGGGAAGAAGACTGGTGGGCTGCAGGTGGGTGGGCAGAAAGCTTACTTTCAAGATATAATTTCACTGTAAAATTGCTTAGATTTATTTTGTTTGATTCGCTTTTTTGTTCACAGACACTAATGAAGTACTTCTGTTCTCTGTCCCATATTTTTATCACTTTTTCCCTTCATTGTTCTTCCATTTTTCCATTTTCTTCTGCATTTAAAAAAACAAATGTTATCAAAAAAAAAAAAAGACAAACAAACCCAAATGTTATCTAAGAAATAGGCATGTCACCTGCAGGAAAACCCTTCATCCTAGCTTTCTCAGGATAGCCCTGATTTTCCCAAGTCTCTGTCTCCACAAATTAAGTGCTCTTGCGGTTGCCACTCCACATGTCCCAGTTTGGCATTGGGAAAATAACATTTGTCTTGGCCAACAAATGCACTCAGTAGGTGAGTGTGAGATCAAAGAACAAAACAGGGATCAAAGAGTGTTTTTTACCTGAGTCATCTGTCTGCCTCCCAGCAGCTCTCATCACGGGTGATCTCATTTATGCCTTTCCCAGTCAAGTTTCCCACTTTGGCGTTGTCTCGCTGGGGCAACGAGGGGCTGTTCCAGTGGGACAGGCTGTAGAGAACAGGTTGTGTGTGTAGTTTAGAAACTTCGCAGTGGTAGCTTGAAATGGGCCACAGCACAGGTATTTACACCATGGAAATTGGCAAACACTAGAAATTACCCACCACCACGCCCCCACTCAGAGAGTCTGTGGTTAGACATTTACCAGCACATTGCTGGGCTACTCTCAGGTGTTACAGCCGGTGGTTCATCCACCTCTCTTCAGCCCTGGGTTGTTCATTTCTCAGGGAACTAGATGGTCATTTGCCTGATCCCTCTGCAAGTGGTGTTTTCCCTTCTGGGGGTGGATCTGTCTGCCAAGTTGCATGGTTCTTTGCTGCTCAGAGACACTAAACTTCACCTCCCTGGTCACTAGTCTGGATAGGAAAGCGTGGGGCTCTGGTAAAAAATAGTAGACTCATTTGACAATTTTCCATTTCTCCATCTCATCCTGCCAGCTTCTTTTTTTCTTTTTTCAGAGACGAGGTCTCCTTGAACTCCTGAGCTCAAGCGATCCTCCTGCCTCAGCCTCCCGAGTAGCTGGGATTACAGGTGCACGCCTCCACACCTGGCACCTTGCCCCTGCCTGCTTCTTCTTGGAACTTGGCCTGATTTCAGGAACTTTCTTCCTACGGCATCCAAACACCCAATTCTTTCTCCTGGGCAGAAGGCTGAGAGGAGGTAGAGGACAGCAATGTTACTGGAAGGTTTAGCAGGTTTTCTTCTGCAAAGAATAAACCAGGCTGATTTTGTCCCTGCTGCTTGAGGTGCCAGCCTGTGGGTCCCAGACCCATCCAAGGAGGGAACAGGTAGGACTTCGTCATCCACCTTTTAGTTCCTCTGCAAGGGAGGCATCTGGTGCAGGCCTGAGGGCAGACTTCCACCCACGCTGGTCCTTACGGGCCCTCTCTTTCAGAAGCTCCCAGGGCACTATCTCTAGGTTGAACCAAGAAGCAGATTGTTGCCAAGAAAACTTTCCCAATGACTTCTAAGGAGGGGACAATGACAAGAGGAGGATTGGGGCAGAAATAAAAGACATAAAGATAAGTTGCTTGAGGTTCCCCCATCAGGGTCCCAGACCCTCAGTGTCCTGTGCTCCCTGTAGCGGGCGCAGAGCATGGACTGCACATCTGAGCAGTCAAGAACGAGGATGGGCAGGTCGGGGTTTGAGATCTTCAGCTCCGCATTGTGTTTCCCCATGGAGTCCCTTCAGGGCTGGGTAGGGGGCCCTGAGTGCTGAGGACACTTTCTCCCATTCCCAGAAAGGTTGCAAGATGTTTTTTTGTGAATGCATAGAAAATTGTATTATCATTTGGTTCCATTAAAATTGGTTAACCTGCAAAAAAAGAAAAAAAAGTTTGCTTGAGACTTCAAAGATCTGAGCTGCAGAAGGGCTGGCCGTGGAATCAGGCAGGCGCCTCCAAGACTGATCAAAATGAAGGAACTTCAGACCTGGGTTCACACAGCTTCCTGGTTTACTTGCCTTGTAACTTAGACTCTTAGTACCATCTGTAAAATGGGCATAATAATACCTACCTCTCAGAGTTGTGACCAGGACTAAATGAACTAATGTACATAAAGCACTGAGCCCAGAGCCCAGACTAAGTTTTCAATTCAACAAAACAAAACAAAAACAGCCCCCCTGGACACAGCAGTGCTAAGCCCCGTGGTCCAGACAGGATTGACTGTGGGATTTAGGAGCCTCGACTGAGTGGCATGTCAAATGACAGACCCCAAAGCCAAGCCTTAGATCTGTCAAGACCTTTGTTGGTTTTCTTCGTACAAGTCAACCCAGTTTATCTTTTTTTTTCTTTTTCCTTTTTTTTAGAGACAGGGTCTCCCTCACTCTGTCATCCAGGTTGGAGAGCAGTGGCATGATCATAGCTCACTATAACCTCGGACTCCTGGGCTCAAGCGATCCTCCTGCCTCAGCCTCCCACATAGCTGAGCCTACAGGTGCACATCACCATGCCTAGCTAATTTTTAAATTTTTTGTACATACAGGGGTCTTGTTATATTGCCCAGGCTGGTCTTGGTTTATCTTTACAACAATCCCATGAGGTGGATATCAGCTCTGTTTTGCAGGTGGGGAAACTAGGGCTCTAAAAGAACCCTATATTGCTGGGGACCCTTTGAGGAACCCCCAACTCACTGGACACTTTTCTAGGTGGGGCACTTTCTACTGACCCGAGTGGCCTGAAATCCAAGTGGACGTCAGTGCAGAGCGTTTCCTAACACAGCTCCTGTCTCGGGGGTGGCCTGAGCACCTGTACCCAAGTCAAAGAGGCCAGCTCCGCTTAGGGGAATGAATGCCTGTGTCTGCTCGCCTGGTGACAACTCCAAGCATTCAGACACATGTCCCCTTGACCCTGGCAGCCTTTGTATATGTGACAATATTAGAACTTTGTTGGGCAGGACTTGGAGTTAGACAGATAGGAGCCTAGTCCTGGCTTTATCACCAACCAGCTGTGTGACTTGGAGTGTCACCTCCTAAAGCTGGAGGCTTCTCACTTATAAAATGGGATCAAATGGTTCTTAGGTCCAAGGGTTGCAGGGAGGGCCCAGTGAGATTAGAACCCACACATCGACTCAGCAAATGCGTCAGGAGGCCTGCTCTGTGCAATTCACCATGAGGCCATTGAAAATTCCAGATCCTCAGCTGAAAACTTGTGGGTTATTGAATTTATTGATAGCTTGTTACTTCTGGTAAGGATGTGAGGTGTTTGCCAGGAAAGATGAGGAACTACACTACCAAAACCAATGAACTTTCATTGGTTTATTCCACAAATATATATTGGGTTGTAACTAGGTGCCAGGCACTGGGCATACAGGAAAAGGTCTGGGTGGGGTAGAATTTACCTCCCATCACCAGGTCAAAGACCAAAAGCAAGAACCAAAGCGAAAGAGGGAAACCCCTGTCAAGAGTTGGCTTTAGAGTTAAATTCATTGAGAAAAGAGTTAAAAAAGGAAGAATTGCTCAGTTTCATAGCTTAGTTCACATCAGGAGAAACCTACTTTTTTTTTTTTAACTGGTTTCAAGAGGATTTCCTCATGGAAGAAGCGTTTCAATAAGGGTCTTTTGAGCAACAGAACGAATGATTTTAATAGCGATTTTTGTTTCTTCCCCCCAACATTTTATGATGCACATTTTCAAACCTACAGAAAAGTTGAAAGAATGTGAACTCCTACATCCCCACCTCTCAGAGCCTGCAATTGATATTTTCCTGTTCTAACTGCAGTTTTGTTTTGTTTTTTAACAGGAAGTCTCTCCTCCGGCTTTTCCTGAGGCTGCGACAGCCGCGTTTTCCCTGGGACAGGCGGCGGGGACGCGGGCGCGGCGGGGACGCGAGGGAGTCTGGCCGGGCGCGGGTGGGGGAGCTAAACAGAGAAAAACAAAAACAAAACTGGAGAAGCAAGTCCTGCTCACGCCTTGGCCCTCGCTCTTACTGTGTGGTCTCAGCCAGTTAATAGGAGAACCCGAGTCTCGTGGCTGCTTTTGGCTGGAAGGTCCTGGGATCGTCTTTCTCCTGCTCCCTCTGCAAAGGGTGGAAAAAAGGCGGCGATGGCGGCCCTGGCGCCCGGCCCGCGCCGGGGGACACAGGCGAGCGTCCCCCGGGACGCCCGGCGGGGACCGCGACGGGGGCCCCGCGCATCCTGCAGCCCGGCAACCGGCCTCCGCGGCCCGCGGGCCGGGGCGGGGGCGCGTCCTGCGGCAGCTGCAGGGCTCCGACCCGCCCAGCTGTCGCCGCGACTCCAGCCGCTGTCCCGGCCCGAGTGGACTCGGGGAGGGCCCAGCCTCGGCGCTCCGCCCCCGGCCCGGCGGGACTGGGCTCGGCGCGCCCTCGGCATAAAGCCCTCCTCCCGGCCGAGGTAGAGGAAGTCGGGCTCCCGCCTGGATGGGAGGCGGGGGGAGCTCGCTCCTGTTGTTTTCCGCCGGCGGGAGCGGGCGGGCGGGCGCAGGGGGCGGGTGCGCCCCGGAGCGCGGATCCCGGCCCCGGACATCGGGCTCACGCGAGCATCCCTCCTTCCCGGGGCCGAGGACAGTAGGGCCACTCCGCGGTTCCGAGGACCCGGGAGGAGCCGTCGGTACCCCAGGGGCCGGGGCCGCGGGGCGCACACCCAGCCCAGCCGCAGCCTGCGTTTCCTGAGCCCGGATCTGGGGCGCGATGGCCGCAGGCGCCCGGGCTCCCGAGCCCCGCGTCCTCGTGTGCCTCGGGGCGCTCCTGGCCGGCTGGGTCGCCGCAGGTAAGGGGCCGCGATCTAGAGGAAAAAGTTGAGTTTTCCCAGGCAGCGATGGGGGGGGACAGCGAGGGACCGAATTCCCTCCGACTCCACCCGAATCCGTGGTGGCCGCAGTCCCGAAGCCGCCCGGGGAGGGTCCTGGGTTTCCTGCCCGCAGCTCCGCTCTCTTTGCAGGAAGGAATTTCCCCGGGCGCTCGGTGGAGGGCGAGGTGTCCCCAGACTCCTGGGGTAGGCAGCCGGCGAGGCTGCGGAGGGCCTGCGGAGAGGTGGTGGGGAAATGGAGAGGCACGTGTCGGGGAAAGTGATTTTTTAATTTTTTTTATTTTTTAAAGTGTCGGATGTAAATTCGCGTTCTGGTTTTACGTGCTGCGCTGGGGCTCAAACTCTCCTTCCCCCTGCCTAAGGTTGAACTCGCCTTACACCTGTAACCTGTGGCTCTCCTCCCGCACCCCTGCGATCCCGCCTGTTCAGAGTAGCGCATTCAAAGCTGTGCATTCGCTTTTTAAAAACTTTTTATTGTGAAATACTTTGAGACTTACAAAAAAACTTCCCCTCATCCTTGACATGATTGGCAAAAGGTCTTAAATGCTTCATCTATACTCTGCTTTGTTACAAAAAGAAAAAAGAATATAAGGTTGCTTACAGAAAATATATAGAATATAAAAAGATTGAAAAAAATTATTTGCATGTAATTCACCAGCCAATGCATGTCTACTGTGTGCAGAGAGTGTGACAAGCTGGGAGCAGACTGGGGTGGAGGGAGCCAGGAGGTGGTGTAGTTTGCAGGGATGCAGGTGGAGTGCTACTTTCCGTGTTCCCAGCTGGCCACCTCTTGCAGATTTCTGGAGATGGATCAGAAATGGTGCCTGAGCTTCCTAGCAGCAAGTGCCAAAAGTTCCTAATTGTTAGGCTCTCAGAAACTTTTATTTTGCTTTGTTTTTAGCAGTCATTTATAAACAGTAACATTTTTCATCATCTAGATTTTCAGTTTATCTGGGAAAATCTAAAAGTCTGGCAACACGGGGCCTGTGTGCCCACCTGGAACTAAGCCGTGGTCATCCTCTTTTACCTAGAGCATGTGACCCCAACTTTGTTCCACCTATCCCTGTTGTAGTACTTTACCCCGGCCCTCTTCAGGCATGGACATTACCTGCCGGCTTCTCCAGGCATTTGACTTAGTGATCACTGTGCTGGGCAGGAGGGGAGGAAGGACAGTCCCCAGATGGTCATCTTTAGAAGTTAAAAGGTGATTATCAAGTATTCCCCTTTCCCCAGCTGTCTGCAGTGTTTCCTGCACTGTGAACACCAGGGGCCTGGGGCATCAGAACCCTGGGCTGAAGCCATCCTGCTGGACTGAACCCTTTCAGGCTGACTGCTGCTCACCACCTAGGGAACCTGCCTCCACTGCCATGCCCAGCTATTTTGATGCCTAAGCCTGTTTCAACTTTGTATATAGTCCCAAGTGGCTTCCTGAGCTTGGTGTATTTTTGTTGTTTGTTTTTCAAGTTGGGAGTTGTCTTGGGGGGATAAAATGTCTTTCTGACACTCTAGTGCAAATGAAGTTCATGCTTCCACTTGTCCCTGAGATTGTAAACACCAGGGCATTTTTGGTAAAAATTGCTAGGAAAAACATAAATGTTTGGGTATAACTCCAACTCTTTAAATAATAATATAAGGGCGGCATCTAAGGAGTTTCTATTACTCCAGCCTTTGTTCCATATTCTGAATTTAAGGTTGGGGGACAACAGGGCCCTCTGAACACCCTCTGAACACCATGTGAATGACTTCTAGTAGCACAGACTGTTACTATGTTTTCTCATCTCACCCTGCCTGGTATGGGAGACCAGAGTAAATCCCTGTGTCCTGAAGCACTTGAGACCTGAATGACAATTCCATATCTCCCTGTGATTTGAGCAAATCACTTAAGTTTCCTGAACCTCACTTTTCTCAAGAGTAAAATGAGGAGGTATGGGACTGTCAGGCACGGAACTCATACATCCTCCAGGACTGCCCTTCCTGCATCTGGGTCAGACATCACTAATCGATGACTGTGTTCTTCTCCACTGAGCCAGGACTCAACCTCATCTTCAGCCCAGCCCTCAGGGCTGCCACATCTCTGGACTAGATGATCTCTAAGGGCAGCTTCAGCTTCAGTAGTTAAAAAAAAAAAAAAAAAAGTGGAGTGAGCAAAGCCAGGAGGAGAAGTGAAATGCCTTCAAATGGTTTCTTTTGTGATCATGTCATTCTATGCCTTAGAAGAGGTTAGCTCAGGTTCTAAGACTAAAGTTTCACCGGAGCTATTCCAAGCCACTGTTCCTTTATTCCTTTGCCGAGGAGTCAGGGAAAGGGCAGGTGTGCAGGTCTCAGGAACACACGCTGCATCTGTAACTCTAAAGTTCATCTTCCTCTCCTCGTGGGGATTGCCACCTGAGAACTTGGGTTCCCAGGTCTAATCGTTTAAAAATAATTCTCGCCTGCTTTTGAAAGTGATCGTTAAGCATTTCTTGCTGTTTGGGAATCTCTAGCATTAGACGACATTCTCCACCTTTCAGCAAGTGGCTTAGGCTTTTTTGCTTAGTGTTTTGAGAGCGGTAAGGCCAAGAATGTGAGGGAATCAGAACATCCTGTGGCGCCAGCTGGCGTCAGGTCTTTCAAAGGGAGCCCCTTCTAACCAGACAAGAGGCCAAATACAGGTAACTCTTAGTCTTTCATTTATAAATGGGAAGGATTCCTAGAGGCAAGTGACAGTTTATTTTTCATAACAGTTTTTGTTGATATAATTTACGTATCATAAAATTCATCCTTTGAAGGTGTACAATTCAGTGGTTTGAGTATATTCAAACTATCACCACTAGTTAACTACAGAGCGTTTTCAGCACCCCAGCAGGTTCTGTCCATAGTCCTGTCCCGGTGGCCTTTTTGTACGTGGGTGTCGATTGTGGAGGGAGCTGGAAAATGTGAGACTTCTCAGCAAAATGGGCTGCATTTGCTTGTTGTTACCTAGTGACAGTCTAATGCCAGATCAGTGGCCCCTGAGCACCTGTCGGTCTTGAGTGGGGATCAGCATCACCTGGGCTTGTTAAACCACAGCGTACTGCCTGCCTCTTCCTAGTGTACAATTTAGATGTTTTGGGGTTAGGCTTGATCATTAGCTTTTCCAATAAGGCTGCTGTCGCCGACGTGGGCTTTTGAACATGCTTTTCCCTCTGCCTGGGACCCATCCTCACCTTTACCTGGCTGAGTGCTCCTTATCCGCTGGCTCTCAGTTCAGCTTCCAGGAGGAATTCTTTCCTGACATTTGTCCCAGCTGGACTTAGGAGCCCTTTCTCTGAGGCCTTATCCTGGTGTTTATCATATTGTGTTGTAATTTTCAGTTTATTATCTCTTTGCCCCACTAGACTGTGAACCCCTGGAGATTTCTGTTTTGTGCACTGTTGGATCCCCAGTGCCTAGCACAGGCCCTGGCCCACAGGGGCACATGGGCACTACCGCCAGCCCGTTCTTGCATGGAGCTTCCAGGACAGCCTTAGTTAACTCTAGGGTCCTTTGGACCTGACCTGAGAGAGAGAGAGCATCAGAGAGAGCAGTGGGAATAAAGCCAAAGCCCTCTGCCTTCCACCTCTTCTGTAATTTCTAGGCAAATAAAACCACCTGGGTTCTGCATCGGTTATTAATTGCTACAGTAATGCTGCAACCAAACAACCACAAGACAACCGAAATGCTCGTTGCTCTCAGGCCTGGGTGGGTAGTTAGGTGGCTCTGCCGATCTTGCCTGGGCTCACATGCATGTCCAGGGACAGCCGGACAGGCTGGCTGGCTGAAGGCCGACCTGGAATGGCCTCAGCTGGAACAAGTGACTGAGACAACTAGGGTCTGCACCATGTAGGTGTTTTTTTAAATTTCAGAATTCTATGGCAATATGCACGATTTGGTTACATAATTTGCTTTTGTACAGTTTGAGTAAAAGTTGTAAGTGTGCCCTTCAGCCAGTTAGTGTGCATTGTACCCATTAGGTGTGAATTTACTCATTTCCTCCTCCCCCTCCCACCTACTTGATTTCCCTTGAGTTCTACTTACATGTGCATATAAGTGTTGATCGATTAGTTCCAATTTAGTATTGAGTACATGTGGTGTTTGTTTTTCCATTCTTGCAATACTTCACCAAGAAGAATGGTCTCCAGCTCCATCCAGGTTGTTACAAAAGATACTTGATCACCATTTTTTTTAATGGCTGAGTAGTGCTCCACGATATACATATACCACATGTTATTAATCCACTCATGTATTGATGGGCACTTGGGTTGTTTCCACATCTTCGCAATTGTGAATTGTGCTGCTATAAACATTCGAGTGCAAGCATCTTTTTAATAAAATGTCTTTTTTTTCCTTTGGGTAAATACCTAGTAGTGGGATTGCCGGATCAAATGGTGGGGCTACTTTTAGCTCTTTGAGGTATCTCCACACTACTTTCCATAGAGATTGTACTAGTTTGCAGTCCCACCTGTACCATGTGGTTTTCATAATCCCTCTGGAACCTCACTTGGGCATCTCTTTCTCATGGTGATGGCAGAGGACGAAAGTGAATAAGTCCAATTACACAAGCACTTTTTTTTTTTCTATTTTTCTTTATTGTGGCAAAATACATAATATAAAATTTACCACCTTAACCATTAAGTATATAGTTCAGTGGTATTCAATAGAGTCATGATGTTGTGCACCACCATTCTTCATCTCTAGAACTCTTTTAATGTTGTAAAACTGGAACTCTGTACCCATTAAACCGTAACTCCCACCCTCCCCAGTCTCTGCAACCACCATTCTACTTTCTATCTCAAAGATTTTGACTACTCTGGCTACTCGTAAGTAGAATCGTACAGTATCTGCTTTTTGTGACTGGCTTATTTTGCTTAGCATAATGTCCTCAAGGTTCATACGTGTCGTAGCATGTGCCAGAATTTCTTCCCTTTTTAAGGCTGAGTAATATTCCAGTGTATGTATACAGCACATTTTGTTAATCCGTTCATCTGTCGGTGGACACTTGCGTTGCTTCCATGTTTTAACCATTGTGAATAGAGCAGCTGTGAACAAATATCTCTGAGACTCTGCTTTCAATTCTTTTGGGTATATATCTAAAAGTGGACTTTCTGCATCATATGGTAGTTCTATTTTTAATTTTGGGGGGAACCACCATACTGTTTTCCACAGCAGCCTCGCCATCTTTCACTCCTCCCGACAATACACAAGGGTTCTGATGTCTCCGCACCCTTACCCACACTTGCTATAATGGGCGTGAGGTGGTATCTCATTGTAGTTTTGATCTGCATTTCTCTGATGATTATGCATGAGCACTTTAAAAGCCTCTGCTTGGGTCACATTTGCTCACATCCCATTGGCCTAAAAAAGTCACATGGCTGAGCCCACAATAAGAGCAGGATGGCCCCAGAGTGACATGATGAAGGGCTTGGATAGTGAGTGGGATGGGGTCGGGAATTGTGGCTATGTTTGTGATCAACCACAAGTTCATTAATGTCAATGACTGGCCAAGAATCCCAACACACAAGAGGCTCTGTATGTTATTGTATCTTCTTTTTTTTTTTTTTTAAGAGATGGTCTCACTCTATCACCCAGGCTGAAGTGCAGTGGCGTCATCATAGCTCACTGCAACCTCAAACTCCTGGGCTCAAGCAATTCTCTTGCCTCGGCCTCTCAAATAGCTGTGGCTACAGGCACACACTGCCATGTCCAGCTACTTTTTAGATTTGTTTGTAGAGACAGAGTCTCGCTAAGTTGCCTAGGCTGGTCCCAAACTCCTGGCCTCAAATGATCCTGCCATCTCAGCCTTCCAAAATGCCGGGATTACAGATGTGAGCCTCTGCACCCAGCCTGTTATTGCACCTTAAAAACACACACCTGATTTTTTAAAAAATCCTAACGCAGAGGCACTGTCTAAAAAGGGAGGTTGCTCAGAGATCAAGAAAGGGAGTAACAGCCTGATCTTCCTTTGCACAGGATTGGAGGCCATCGTCATCGGAGAAGTTCATGAGAATGTTACCCTGTACTGTGGCAACATCTCGGGACCGAGGGGCCTGGTGACCTGGTACCGGAACTCCTCGGAGCCTGCCTTCCTTCTCTCCTCCAATTCTAGCCTCCCGCCAGCCTCGCCCCGCTTCTCTCTGGTCAACCCCAGCTCCCTGCACATCGAGGCGCTGAGCCTACAAGATGAGGGCAACTACACCTGCCAGGAGATCCTCAATGTGACTCGGTGGTTCCACGTGTGGCTGCAGGTGGCCAGTAAGTGGGGCTGGTGGCGACTAGGGCTAGGGAGGTGCTCACAGCCTTGGAGGTGAGGAGGCCAAGGTCAGGGGCATGGGCCTTGCATCAGATGGCCAGGATTTCATTCTGGGCTCTGCCACTTGGAAGCTGAGTGACCTGACCTCTCACATCTGTATTTCCTCACCTGTAAGAGCGCGATGAAAAGAATTCTTGCCTCACGGGATTGCTGTGAAGAATAGATACCAGTTTATAAAGTGCTTCAAATGACTCCTAGCATGTTATTAATAGTTTGCTTTTATTTTTAGCTGGTTGTTAGTCTCATCCTTGCTGTTAATATCATTTTATTATGTAACAAAAGTACAGTATAAACGAAGCTTGGTGCAGTGGCCCCTGCCTGTAGTCCCAGCTGCTCTGCTGAGGTGGGAAGATTGCTTGAGTCCAGGAGTTCAAGGCTACAGTGTGCTATGATCATGCCCATGAATAGCCACTATGCTCCAGTTTGGGCAACATAGCAAGACCCCATCTCTCTCTCTTTTTTTTTTTTTTGAGACAGAGTCTCACTGTGTTGCCCTAGCTAGAGTGAGTACTGTGGCATCAGCCTAGCTCACAGCAACCTCAAACTCCTGGGCTCAAGCGATCCTCCTGCCTCAGCCTCCCAGGTAGCTGGGACTACAAGCACGTGCCACCATGCCCGGCTAATTTTTTCTATTTTTAGTTGTTTGGCTAATTTCTTTCTATTTATAGTAGAGACGAGGTCTCGCTCTTGCTCAGGCTGGTCTCGAACTCATGAGCTCAAGCAGTCCTCCCACCTTGGCCTCCCAGAGTGCTAGGATTACAGGCGTGAGCCACTGTGCCCAGCCTACCCCGTCTCTTAAAAAAAAAAAAATGAACATAATCAAGTCAGACTGCCTGAATTCCAGTCCTAAGACTATCACTTAGTTCTGCGTCACCTTGAGTAAGTAGCTTATTATCTTTAAGCTTCAGTTTTCCTCATTTGTTAACTGGGGAATACCTTGCATGCCTCGTGAGGTATGGTGAGTGCTCTTACACTATCGTGTTAAGTACAGGGCGTGGCACGAGCTGCCCTCACTACTGCGCTTTCCTGAAACAGTCTGTCATATCTACTGATATGCACGTGTGAGTTTAGAGCAGAAGTTTGCAAACTACAGCCTATGGGCCATATCCAGCTGGCTGCCTATTTCTGTATAGCCTGTAAGCTATGGATATTTTTTATATTTTTAAATGGTTGAAAAAAATCAAAAGAAGAATATTTGTGATGTGAAAATTATATGAAATTCAAATGTTGGTGTTCACAAGTGAAGTCTTATTGGAATACAGTCACATTCATTTCCATACTATCTCTGACTGCTTTTGTTGCTTCGGCGGCAGAGGTAAGTGGCCGTGACACAGATCATACGACTTGCAAAGCTGGAAGTATTTGCTCTCCGGCCCTCTGGAGAGAAAGTTTGCTGGTCACTGGTTTAGAGGGACATCCGTGTTCTAGATCCAGGATGTGTAGCTTACCAGACATACCTGTGTGATCACTTCACTGCTCCGCATCCATGTTGCCTCATCTATAAAATAAAAAATGTACGCATTCGTTTGTTCAACACGTATTTATTTATTTATTTATTTATTTTTTATTTTATTTTATTTTTTTTGAGACAGAGTCTCACTGTGTTGCCCGGGCTACAGTGCCGTGGCATCAGCCTAGCTCACAGCAACCTCAAACTCCTGGGCTCAAGCGATCCTTCTGCCTCAGCCTCCCGAGTAGCTGGGACTATAGGCATGTGCCACCATGCCCGGCTAATTTTTTCTATATGTTTTTAGTTGTCCGATTAATTTCTTTCTATTTTTAGTGCTCAGGCTGGTCTCGAACTCCTGAGCTCAAACAATCCGCCCGCCTCGGCCTCCCAGAGTGCTAGGATTACAGGCGTGAGCCACCACGCCTGGCCTCAACACGTATTTATTGAGAGCCTGTTGCCAGACACAGTTCTACACACGGTGCCACTGGCGTGAACAAGACAGGCAGGTCCCTCCTGGAATGAGCAGCCTGGTGGGGGAGACAGTGAGGAACAAGTGAGCAAATGCATCAGGCAGTATCAGAGACGGGCGCGGAACAGAGAACCGAGATGGGGCGATGGGATTCTCTGAAACGCTTATTTCTTTATTTTTTAATTTTTTTCTTTGACACATATCCACATGTTCAGCTATCTGAAACACTTTAAATTGGGGGTGGGTAAGAGAGGAGCTTTTGCAAGTGGCGACATTTAAGCCGAATGGTAATTAGGAAGCAGTCGTGCAAAGATGAGAGGAGAGAGCCTTCCAGCCAGAACGAGCACTGGTGCCAGACGGGTTGAGCGTGCTGCATTCGCAGATGGGAGAGGGCCAGCATGGCAGGGGCCTAGTGTGCAAGAGGGCAGGCCATGTGGGGCTGGGAGGGCTGGTTCAGGTTGAATTTATGTCCCCCCAAAAGATAGGTTGAAGTCCTAACCTCTGGTACCTACAAACGTGACCTTATTTAGAAATAGGGTCTTTGTGGATATAATCAGGTTAAGATGAGATCCTTGGCGTGGGCACTGCTCCCGTTCGACTGGCATCCTTATGACACCAGGGACATGCCATGCGAAGACAGAGACACACAGGAAGAACATCATATAGCAAGAGGGGCAGAGATTGGAGCGATGCAGCTACAAACCAAGGAATGCCACCAAAAGCTAGGGAGGAGGCAAGGAAGGATCCTCCCCTAGAGCTTTGGAGGGAGCACGGCCCAGGTGACACCTTGGTTTCAGACTTCTGACCACCAGAACCGTAAGAGAATCAATTTCTGTCATTTTAAGACATCTGGTGTGGGGTGTTTTGTTAAGGCAGCCGTAGGAAACTATGAACCCTGGTCGGGAGTTGGGCTTTCATTCTGGGTGCAGGAGAAACTGCTGGCGCTTCCAGCAGGGGGGTGGCATCATTAGATTTGCACATGGAGGATGTACATGTAGTATCAAGAAGAGCCGATCAAATAAAAACAGGAAGCCAGTTGAAGGCATAAGATGGTGTTGACCAGAAAAGGGGTGACGACAGTGGCTTTGGTGAAAATGCACGGGTTCAGAAGATATTTTGGAGGTTGACCAGCAGGACTTGCTGGTGGATCAGAAGTAGGGGATGAAGGAAGGAGAGGCCACAAGGACAGTTCTAGAGTTTTGGAAACTCTAAGGTTTCCACTCATTTGCAAAGTTTGTGGAATCCGTGAGTGCAACGTTTGTGTATCTGGAGATGCCATCAATGAATTCCTGAATGTCCGGGAATGAATGTGGGTGTATCCAGAAATGTCACCCATCTTGGCCCGGCTGTTTGGTCCCCGCTGCGAGCCCATAGCAAGTGCTGGCTGGTCGCCCTTAGTCCAGCTGCCCAGAGTAATTAATAATCCCTTCCTGTCCGTCTCGTCCATAAATATCTTCTCTCTTGACCACAGGACAGAAAGGTGGCAACTTGGTACTCTTATCATCACTCTCCAGTTTATGGTGACTTGATCTGACAGTGGTTTATTCATCATTGGCGAAGTTTATTGGACTATTTCATTATTGCCCTATAGGGAGATAAATGCGAGGTCTGGTTACAATGAATGTGAACTTAGATTTTTAAAACTGTCAATGAACTCTGGTGGCATTTCCAACTCTCTGAAGGGAAGCCCCGTGTGTGTCTGAGTCACTGTGATGTGACTTGTATCGTGGAAGCTTCTTCATTTGGAAATATATGGGGTTTCTGACAGGCGTAGAGCTTGTTTGTGAAAATAGGACACAGACACCATGAGCCCTTTGGTTCACATACGCCAGAGCCCTCTGGGATCCCACTCCTTGTTCTCATTCCAGAAGGGGCCTGGGAAAAACCCCAGACACCCTGGGCATCCGGGAGCCCCTTCCTGCCCCTCAGACAGTGGCCGACAGGGAGAGTTTGGCATCTCTCTTTGGAACTTGGCTCTCATTTTTGCATAGATAATTTGGGAATGTGGATTGGGTTTGATCCAGCCACTGTTGGGTGGGGGTCAGTGGTATTGCTGAGTGGCTGAGAATATTCTGAAACTCTGAGGTCCAGATGCCTGGGTTCAAATCTGGGTCCTCCTGGCTGTTGTCTTTGTGACCTTGGAGAAATCCCTTGAACTTCTCCAACCTTAGTTTTATCGTCTGTGAAATCAGGGTCATGGCCACGGATCTGTGGCATGAATTAATGAGAAAAGTTTCTGCAGCCCTCAGCTGGTCTGTGTTACCTTGATCCGTTGGTTAAGCTGGTGATGGGATCCCCCTGGGATACTGCATCTCTACTTCCCGACAATCAACTTACAGGCCTTGCTGTGGGTTGGGGACCCCATGTGCCCAGATCTTTTCACTGATGTGGTTGCTAACATGGTCGCATTCCCTTATTCTCTTAAGGAGAAAAGTTTGGAAACATTCTACCATAGCCTTGGAAGCTAGGGAGGAGAAATTCCGGCATGTGACAACTTGTTCTCTGTAAGTGACTTGGAACTTGGGCATGGACAGAGAGGCTGTAGAAGCACAAAGCCGGCTGTATGAGGGCTGGTAGTTTCTCCTTCCTTCCCGCCTGGAACTCTGCTTATCTGTCAGTGGGCATTTGGTGCCTCTGCCTTCTAGGGAGTCAGGTTTTCTCTCGGTCTGGGGTGACTTAAGCTGCCTGGAATGGACACCCGCAGTGTGATTGCATCACTCATCCCACGACTAAAAAGAGTCTGCGCCGCTACCTGTTCATTTAAAGGTGAGGTTGAAGAGTCTTGCCATCGGGATTGGGTCTCTGCTTCTAAGAGTACAGAACTCTCTTGGTCCAGAGAAGTTCGGGGCTGCGCAGCTGTTTATTTCAACTTACCCATCCCCTCCTGCCTCCAAATTGGAGAGGGTATGAGGCTGGAACAGCTCTGTGTTTACCTGCAGAAAGGCTGGAGGGATGGGGAAGATAGCAGAGTTCTGAACACATCCTGGTAGACTCTGTGCCTTTTTTCAAGATATCATCTCTTATAGGCTGAGTGATTCAGTTGAACAGTCAGCCCATGAAAGACCCCAGTCAGATTTCACAGTACATGGTACCAGGCTCTCCTTGTGTCTATTTTTCTCAGGCCAAGCAAGTGTTTAGGGAACATTCGAACCAGTTGGCACATGGGCAATGAGGAAGCTGGTTTGTATCGACCTCTAAGAGCCCCTTAGCATTCAGCTGGGGTTTGGGGGATGGGGCTGTCACTCTGAACTTCCCAGAAAGGGCGTCTCAGGAAAGATCCATCTGCCCATCCAATACGTACCCACTAGCAGAGCCTCCTTCTGTTGGTAGTGGTGTCACCGCCTTATCACAACTAGAGTCCTAGGGAAAGAGAATGTTGGGCCCATCAGAAGATGGGGTGATTCTTGCCCAAGGATTGATGAATTTGGATCTTGCCAAGCTTATCTGAAACAGAGATGGGTGCTCAGCAGAGCCTGCGTTTTGTGTAGTTGAGTAGTGTTCCGTGGTATACGTATACCATGTTTTATTAATCCTTATGGATTCATGGGCACTTGGGTTGTTTCCACATCTTTGCGATTGTTAATTGTGCTGCCATAAACATTCGAGCACAGATGTCTTTATTATAGAATGTCTTTTTTTCCTTTGGGTAGATGCCTAGTGGTGGGATTGCTGGAGCAAATGGTATTCCTATTTTTAGCTCTTCGAGATATCTCCATATTACTTTCCACAGGGGTTGTACTCATTTGCAGTCCCACCAGCAGTGAAAGGTGTTCCTATCTCTCCACATCCACGCCAGCATTTGTTGTTTTGGGACTTTTTTTTTCTTTTTTATTTCAGCATATTATGGGGGTACAAATGTTTAGGTTACGTACATTGGCCTTGCCCTGCCTGAGTCAGAGCTTCAAGCGTGTCCATCCCCCGGATGGTGTGCATCGCACTCATTATGTGTGTATATACCCATTCCCCCCCCATCTGCCTGACACCCGATGAATGTTATTGCTATATGTGCACTTAAGTGTTGATCAGTTAAAACCAATTTGATGGTGAGTGCATGTGGTGCTTATTTTTCCATTCTTGGGATAATTCACTTAGTAGAATAGGTTCCAGCTCTATCCAGGATAATACAAGAGGTGCTATATCACTATTGTTTTTTGTGGCTGAATAGTACTCCATGGTATACATATACCACGTTTTATTAATCCACTCATATACTGATGGGCACTTGGGCTGTTTCCACGTCTTTGCAATTGTGAATTGTGCTGCTATAAACATTCGAGTACAGATGTCTTTTTTGCAGAATGTCTTTTGTTCTTTTGGGTAGATGCCCAGTAATGGGTTTGCTGGGTCAAATGGTAATTCTACTTGTATGTCTTTAAGGTATCTCCATCTTGCTTTCCACAGACGTTGTACTAATTTGCAGTCCCACCCGCAGTGTATGAGAGTTCTTATGTCTCCGCATCCATGCCAACATTTATTGTTTTGGGACTTTTTGATAAAAGACATTCTCACTGGAGTTAGGTGATATCTCATCGTGGTTTTGATTTGCATTTCCATGATTAGAGATGTTGAGCACTTTTTTATATGTTTGCTGGCCTTTAGTCTGTCCTCTTTTGAAAAGTTTTGGTTTATGTCTTTTGCCCTTTTTTTTTTTTTTTTTTTTTTGAGACAGAGTCTCACTGTGTTGCCCAGGCTAGAGTGCCGTGGCGTCATCCTAGCTCACAGCAACCTCAAACTCCTGGGCTCAAGCGATCCTTCTGCCTCAGCTTCTCGAGTAGCTGGGACTGCAGGCATGTGCCACCATGCCCGGCTAGTTTTTTTTTCTATATATTTTTAGTTGTCTGATTAATTTCTTTCTAATTTTAGTAGAGACGGAGTCTCGCTCTTGCTCAGGCTGGTTTTGAACTCCTGAGCTCAAACAATCTGCCCGCCTCGGCCTCCCAGAGAGCTAGGATTACAGGCGTGAGCCACCGCGCCCAGCCTTTTGCCCACTTTTTGATGGGGTTGTTTGACTTTTTCCTTTTAATTTTCTTAAGTTCTGTATAGATTCTTGTTATCAGCCCTTTATCGGATGTGTAACATGCGAATGTTTTCTCCCATTCTGTAGGTTGTCTATTTGCTCTAATGATAGTTTCCTTGGCTGTGCAGAAGCTTTTTAATTTGATCAGGTCCCATTTATTTATTTTTGTTGCTGCTGTGATTGCTTTGGGGGTCTTCTTCATAAATTCTTTGCCTAGGCCAATGTCTATAAGAATTTCCTTTGGGTCTTCTTATTTGATTTTTTTTTTTTTTAATTCTTCCACCTGCTTCCTTCTCATTCACTCCCTGTAACCAACTCTAATTCTTGCTGAGAATTGTACTGGTCAAAAGCCCCTCCTAGCTGGTTTCTGGGGGTCTATGATGTCCACGCCAGGCCACTGGGAACCCCACCGCCAGACTACAATGTAGAAGACGCAGACTCGTCCAGTCTAACACTACTTTTGCTGGCCCAGGTGTTGGCTTGTACCCTGTGCTTAGTTGGATGTGCACCAACTGTGGGCACACCCTGGGACCTGCCGGTCTGCATACCTAACCAACTAGCCAGCAACAATGAATGGGACATTTGAGTACCTCCCAAACCACAGTATGATATTTACCCAGACTCTTTGTGGGAAGTGACATGATTCCAGCAGATCCCTGCAACTGTTAGGAGCCAGCCCTAACTTGACAACAATATTGTCCTTAGAAGCCCACGATTTCTATAGTTATACAATGGCCTTGGACATGGATAAAGTAGATACTGTGCTTCAAGGGGCTCTGTCTGGGAAAGCCTTTACCTCCCATAAACGGTATTTTTTCACTGGCCTATTTCTGTTCAAAACTCTATAGCCGGGCTGGGCATGGTGGTTCATGCCTGTAATCCTAGCACTCTTGGGAGGTCAAGGTGGGAGGATTGCTCCCAGGCCAGGAGTTTGAGACCAGCCTGAGCAAGAGAGAGACCTTGTCTCTATAAAAAAGAGAAAAATTAGCCTGGCATATCGTGTGCCTGTAGTCCCAGCTACTCGGCAGGCTGAGGCAGGATTGTTTGAATCCAGGAGTTTGAGGCTGCTGTGAGCTATGATGACATCACTGTACTCTACCTGGGTATGACAGAGTGAGACACTGTCTCAAAAAATAAAAAAATTCTACAGCCATATGGGGAGGGGTCAAGGGCAACATACATAACCTAAACATCTGTTCCCCCATAATATGCTGAAATAAAAAAAAAAAAAATTCTACAGCCATAGATTTATTCCTTTGGCTAAGCATTGCCCTTCCTGTATTTTATTTTTTAAAAGAAGAAGTCTCTGGGAGAGGTAGCACACTAAATTACTTCAGAATTAACAGCTGTTAGATATATTAGTTTAAAAACATTTTTAATTGACAAATGTATATATTTATGGGGGAGGTATATTCTTTAAGGAGATGTGGCATGTTGGGTGCACCAATGGTAGAGGGCATTTCAGCGGATAAGAAGTTCGGAAACATGAAGGGAATCAAGGTGAGGCCTAGCAGTCTACCAGGTGCTTCCAAAATGCCAGGCACTGTTCCGAGTACTCTACTGTCCTAACTCATTGAATTGTCACAACCACCCTGGGAAATGAGGACTGTCATCACCCCATTTTACAGATGAGGAAATGGAGGCTAAGAAGGGACAGTAATTTGCCCACAGTCATACAGCTAGTTTGTTCCTGGTTTTTCAGTGTGATTTTGTGCTGGGGGGTCCCCAAGACCACGCCCAGGTTTGATGAGTTTCTAGGAGGACTCACAGGACTCAGCATGTCGTGCAATTTATCACAACAAAAGGATACACAGCAAAATCAGCAAAAGGAAAAGCTACGTGGGACGGAATCTAGGGAAACCAGGCACAAGCTTTCATGAGTCTCCTGGTGGAGTTGCATGGGACACACTCGAATCTTCCATCAACGGGTTGTGGAAACACGTGTCAAATGTCTAACCAGGGAAACTCATTTGAGACTCCGTGTCTGAAGTTTCTTTCTGGGGGCTGTCACAGAGATACTGTCTGTCTCGTATGGACCCAGATTCCTGATCCCCAGAAGGAAAGCAGGTGTTCTGCATAAACCACATTGTTTGTACAAACAGTTTAGGCCCAGCGACTGTTATCAGTTCTGTGATTGGTGGGAACCCTCCCGAAATCCAAGTTCCCAGACACAGGCCAAGGGCCAGCCTTGCAAGCAGGCCTTTGTAAGGAGAGCTGTCCCAGCCTGCTGTGTGAATTTTTTTCTGCATAGATATCCTTTCCACCCTGCAGTGTTTTAAAAAAGGAACAATTTACACTTTTCCCCTTCTATAAGGATTTGTCCCCCCAATAAATCTTGCGTAACTGCCCAGGATTAAATGAGAGAATGTATCAGGGCACTTAACACAGCATTGGTCACATAGTAAGTGTTCTGTAGATATTGTCCTCCTCATTGGCTGCTTCCTCATCACTTGTGTGTCTATTAGAGCTGGTAAGAAGCTGAAATGAATTCTTAAGTCATTAATTCTGTCCCCATTCCCCCTGTCATTCCCAGGCGGCCCCTATCAGATTGAGGTCAACATCTCGGCTACCGGCAGGCTCCCCAATGGCACCCTCTATGCAGCTAGGGGCTCCCAGGTGGACTTCAGCTGCAGTAGCAGCTCCTGGCCTCCGCCCATGGTTGAGTGGTGGTTCCAGGCCTGGAATTCCAGTGGCGAACCCTTTGGAAACAACCTGACGGTCAGCTCTTTCACGCTGTTACTGATGTCACCAAGTCTCCAGGGGAACTACACCTGTCTGGCCATGAACATGCTCAGCGGGAGACATCAAGAGGTGACCACCGAGCTACTGGTCTACTGTGCGTAAGAAGCTCTCCCCTCCCTCACTTCTTCACCTTAACCCTTTAGGAACTGCATGTTCGTGCCTCTTCTTTTTGTCTTTAAAGGCATGCGTGGGCCAGGCACGGTGGCTCACGCCTGTAATCCTAGCACTCTGGGAGGCCGAGGCGGGCGGATCATTTGAGCTCAGGAGTTCGAGACCAGCCTGAGCAAGAGCAAGACCCTGTCTCTACTATAAATAGATAGAAAGAAATTAGCCAAACAACTGAAAAAATAGAAAAAATTAGCTGGGCATGGTGGCGTGTGCCTGTAGTCCCAGCTACCTGGGAGGCTGAGGCAGAAGGATCGCTTGAGCCCAGAGTTTGAGGTTGCTGTGAGCTGGGCTGATGCCACGGCACTCATTCTAGCCCGGGCAACAAAGCGAGACTCTGTCTCAAAAAAAAAAGGCATGCCTGCCTCCTGCATGGGTCCAAATACGTTTCTGCAGCTCCCAGAAAACACAGGTACACACCCAGGACCTGTGGCATGGCAGGCAGGGAATCACCCCTTCTAGAAGTTTGCTGCTAACTGGGTGCAGGAAAGTCCCTGTGAGCCACAGAGAGAAACTAATGCAGAGCCTCATGCGTTTTTGTTTTTTTTTTTTAAATTGAGGTGAAAGTATATAGCCTTAACCATTTTAGTGTATAATTCAGTGACATTTAGGACATTTACTATGTTGTGCAACCATCACCTCTATCTAGTTCCAAAACATTTTCTTTATCCCAAATGGAAAGTGCCCACCAAGCACTCACCCCCATTCTCCTCCCCAGCCCCCGACATCCCCCAGTCTCCATTCATTCCGTCTCTATAGATTTGCCTGGTCTGGACGCTTCATGTGAATGGATCATGCAATATGTGGCCTTTTGCATGTGGTATCTTTCACTTAGCATCGTGTTTTTGAGCTTCATCCACGTTGTAGCGTGTATCAGCAATTCGTTCTTTTTTATGGCTTAGTAATAGTCTATTGTATGGACAAGCCACAGTTTGTTTATCCATTCATCCATCCTCAGACACTCTTTCTGTGAACCTGGTGTGGCCGTCACAGGTACCTGGCCTTCTAGCACTGTTGGGGACCAGCAGTCCAGGAGTCTTTATTTTGGGTCTGGGGAGACACCAGCCAAACACTCCAATACACCGTATCTTGGATGAGAGCCACTGTGGCAATGCAGAGTGTACCCAGAAGCCAGGCGAATGAAGGGGAGCAGCATCAGAGCAAATTAGCTGGCAGGATAATGACACAGTACTTAATTCAAATGTTATCAGAGCCTTTGTAAGTCCCAGTGTTCTCTACCATAAATGAAATTTATTGTATGTAAAATCATATGTGCTTGTTGTAGGAAATACAGACGAGTATAAAGAAAATAATCACTTATACTCTAACCATTATTTTGGTGTATTTCCAGTAATTTTTCTTATACATGTTACATATCCACCCATTCGGATTAGATCTAAATTTATTTCTATTCATATGTATTACATAAAGTATGTAAAAATATATGCTTATGTACATAATATGTGAATATATAGTTATTAATGCATATGGAACATACTGGATTTACAGGTTTGTAGTCTATTGAATTTGTGCATGTTTTTAGTAATACATGTTCCTGTCGAGAAGCAACAGAAGTACAAAGGCGTATATGTCAGGGGTGGGGGTGACTGCATCCTCCTCTACCTGTGACTCCCACTTTTTCATATGCCCCAGCCAGAGGCAACCACTATTACATTTTAGGGGCCAGCATTTCCCAGTTGAACCTTCTGTGATCATAGAAATCACCGCTCACCATGTGTGGTTACTGAGCACTTGAAATGTGGACAGTATGATGGAGGAACTGAATTCGTAATTTCATGTAATTTAATTAACGTAATGAATTAAATGTAAATAGCTACACGAGGTTAGTGAGAAATGCAAAGATGAATGAGGCCCAGGTCCTTGGGAGATTTAACACCCAGCAGAGGAAACCTGACTTGTCAGACAAGAATCTGTGCTAGGAGCTATTTCAAGATTCACTAAGTGGGGCTGATGTTTCTTCGAGACCCTGCAATCATTAGAACCAGTCCAATGGCTGATCCTGGAGTCTGTGATTAAGCCCACGTCCTTCTCTGGTGTTCTGCAGCACCCCCTCCAGCAGCTCCTCAGTGCTGGGCAGAGATGTCATCAGAATCGTTCATGCTACAGCTCACCTGTCGCTGGGACGGAGGATACCCTGATGCTAACTTCCTGTGGACAGAAGAGCCAGGAGGTGTGATCATGGGGAAGTCAAAGCTGGGGGTGGAAACGCTGAACCAGTCCCAGCTGTCGGATGGCAAGAAGTTCAAGTGTGTTGGGAGCCACATCGTGGGGCCGGAGTCAGGAGCCAGCTGCGTGGTGCAGATTGGTGAGTCTCTCTTGCCTCCTCCTGGGATTGGGCTTCACCTACCTTCCTTTTTTCTGGGAGAAGCATTTGAAAGTAGTTCTGGGAAGGAAGTCTCAGGATGTCAGAGTGAACTGACTTCTTCCCCATTCTTCCTTTGTTTTGCTTTATATTTCATTCCTTTCAAACTTTAAAGGTGCTTGGCCAGGCTTCTTGGTTCTAGTCCAAGCTGTTTTTTCACTTGACAAATACTAATTGAGCACCTGCTATGTGTCAGGTACAGTTTCTAGGTGCTGAGGATGGAAGAGTGAAAAAGATAGATGAGGTTCATACATTAATGATCTCTTGTTATGTAATAAATTACCACCAAACATAGTGGCTTAAAATAATAACGACTATTTATTATCTCATGATTTCTGTGGTTTAGGAATTCAGGCAGGGCACAGTGGGGATGGTTTGTCTCAGCTCCATGACATCTGGGGTCTCAGCTAGAAGACTTGAAGTTTGGGGGCTGAAATCATCTGAAAGATTCACTTCAGTGGTGCTCATTCACACGCCTGGCATTCAGACGCCTGGCTCATTCACACGTCTCATTCACCCCATTCTTCTCCATGTGGGATTCTTTACAGGGCTGCTTGAGTGTCCTACAAACATTGCGGCTGGCTTCCCCCATAGCAAGTGATCAAAGAGGAGTGAGCCAGGCAGAAGCTATCCTCCCAACCCCCGGTCCGTGGAAAAATTGTCTTCCATGAAACTGGTCCCTGGTGCCAAAAAGGCTGGGGACTGCTGCTTTAGACCAGGGCTTCTCAAGCTTTGATGTGCATATATATCACCTGGATCATTCCACCCGCGAGGACTAGTAAGGTGATGAAAGGTAACGTTAATGTCCACCTCAGGGAATGCAGAACAGCACAGCCCCCAAGATGATGAAAAGTGATGCTTTGGGGGCAGAGGGTTCCAGCTGTCCAGATCTCTCTTTAAATGGCACATAGGTCCCTAAACTAAAGAAACGAACTCACCTCATGAGGAGCTGTGGCATTAGCCACCCCGCTAGGTGAAGGTCCCAGGATGTTGTTTGCCTCTCACAGACCTTGGAGGGTCCCACCCTTTCCCCAGCCTCTCACCCTGCACCCAGCACCCTCTTAAGCTAAGCTCTGTGAACGCATAGGTGCTACCCTGGCTGGGTGTGGGTGACTCAGCTCTTTGAGGGGTGTAATGTTCTGCCTGCTGAAAAAGAGGGCAAGGGGACGGGTCACCAGGAAGATTATTTATTTTGCTTCTAATAAAGGATGAGGGGGCCATTTCTGAAACTTTGGTTTGGTGGCCCCCACATAGAAACATACTGATGAGGTTTGTCACTGCTGCCGTCTTTGTGACCCCAGGAGAAATCTGGGCAAACCGCAGGGAGGGGAGGTACAGTTTAGCAACATGGAGAGAACTTGACAGTTGATCCAGGAAGGGGAGCTTATGTGTGAGTTTCCCAAGCAAAGCCGGGTTTGGGGGATTCTCTTTTGCTGTCTGCCCCAGAGAGCAAGGCTTTTAGGCTATTCCATCTCCCTTTGAGCCGTCCTCTTTCCTTTTCCCTTCCCTCTTCCCAGACGATAGCTGTGAAACCCTAGATAGATTCTTCTTTGGAACAACTGCCAAGGGAAGGTGTGGTTTCACTGCCCCAGGCAGGAATGCAATGTGCCATTCCTTGTGCCACAGATGCTGAAAGTACGGACTTAATAAATACCCCAAGATGAATTTGCTACCCTTCCCAGGAGGGGGCGTGCGTTTTGAGAAAAGGCTTCTTGTGCAAAGAAAACAAATGGATCGCTGTGGTAGCCCTTTCGGCTCCCCATGTCCTGCTCAAATCAGACTCTAAGGCCATTGGACACCACTTCTAAATTTTCTAGGATAGACCTGTGGTAGACAGAATAATGCCCCCCTCCCAAAGATGTCCATGTCCTAATCCCGAGAACATGTGAATATGTTACCTTACGTGGCAAAAAGGGACTTTGTTGATGTGATTAAGTTAAGGATTCTGAGATGGGGAGATTATCCCGGATTATCTAAGAAGGCCCAATGCAATCACAAGGGTCCTTACAAAGGGGAGGCAGGCAGCTCAGAGTCGTAGTAGATGTGACAATGGAAGCAGAGGATAGAGTCATGTGAGGAAGGGGCCAGGAGCCAAGGAATGCAGGCAGCTTCCAGAAGCTGAAGAAACAAGGAAACTGTCCTCCTCTGGAGCAGCAGTCCCCAGCCTTGTTGAAACCAGGGACCAGTATCACGGAAGATAATTTTTCCACGGATGGGGATGGTGGGTGGGGGGAGGCAGAGCTCAGGTGGGGGTAAGCCATGGGGAGGAGCTGTAAATACAGATGAAGTTTCGCTGGCTCGCACTGCTCGACTCCTGCTATGAGGCCCGGTTCCTAAATTTCATGGAAGACAATTTTTCCACGGATGGGGTTGGCAGGTGGGGTGGTTCCTAACAGGCCACAGCCTGGGGGTTGGGGATCACAGCTCTAGAGCATCCAGAAGGAACCAGTTCTGCCAACACCTGATTTTAGCCCTGTGAGATCATTTCAGACATCTGGCCTCCAGAATTGTGGGAGAATAAATTTGTTTTAAGTCACTAAGTTTGTGGCAATTTGTTCCATCAGCAATTGGAAACAGTTGCCCTGTTCTCTTAAACATCCTTGTCAGACTGTGCCCATTTTAAAATACGATTGGCATAGTTATTATACATAGAAGCTTATAGCCTGGAAGTAAAGAATGTGGACTACAAAAGCCCAGCTGCTTGGATTCCAGTCTTACACAGGGTAACCGACTTACCCTGGTTTGCCCAGAACTTTCCTGGTTTTGGCGCTGAAAGCCACGTCCCGGGAACCCCCTCAGTCCTGGGCAAACTGGGACAGTTGATCACTGTAAATCCCAGCTGCATTACTTACTTAGTTGTGTGACTTTGCGCAACTTAATTAACAATCTTGGTGCCTCAGTTTCCTTATTTGCAAAATGGCGATATTAGGGTTATTGTGAGAATGAGTTGGGTTAATATGTGTAACAGTGCCTTGCCCATAGTAAATGCTCAATAAATGTTAGCTTTTATTCTGTAAGATCAGATGTGGTGCAGAAATTCTGGGAGTTGCTTCGTTAGAAAGGAAATGCAGTATTCCTCCATTATCCACAGGGGATATGTCCCCAGAACCCCAGCGGATGCCTGAAACCACAGATAGTACTGAACCCTGTATATATTATGTTTTTTCTGTACATACATTCCTGTGATAAAGTTTAATTTACAAATTAGGCACAGTAAGAGATTAACAGTAATAATAATAAATAGAACAATTATATCAATATACTGCCAGAAAAATTCTGTGAATGTGGTTTCCTTCCCTGTCTCTCTCAAAATATCTTATTGTACTGTACTCACCCTTCTTGTGATGAAGAGGGGATGGGAGTCCACTTGCTCAAGGCTTCTTGGGCGTGGCTCCGGGTCATGGTCCTCAAATTTGGTTCAGAATAAATCTCTTTAAAATTAAAAAAAAAAAAAAAGAGGGGATGGATGGTGCAGGATGGTGTGAGATTTCATCATGCTGCTCAGAATAGCATGCAATTTAAAACTTTATGAATTGGTTATTTCTGGAATTTTCCATTTACTATTTCGGACTGTGGCTGACCGCAGTAACTGAAACCCCAGAAAGCGAAACAGCGGATAAGGGAGGACGGCCGTAATGTTCTTGAAGACCTCAGGCCAGGGCTTGAATCTCCTTGAAAACTGGTCGGTCTTTACCTTCTTCTGATCACCAGGGGGCCCCTCCCTCCTCTCTGAGCCTCTAAAGACTTGCTTCGTGGGGGGCAATGTGACGCTCACCTGCCAAGTGTCTGGAGCCTACCCCCCTGCGAAGATCCTGTGGCTGAGGAACCTCACCCAGCCCGAGGTGGTCATCCAGCCCGACAGCCACTATCTCATCACCCAGAATGGCCAGAGCTCCGCCCTCACCATCCGCAACTGCTCCCAGGACCTGGATGAGGGCTACTACGTGTGCCGGGCTGAGAACCCCGTGAGAGTGAGGGAGGTGGACATCTGGCTCAGCGTGAAAGGTGAGTGACGCAAGTGGCCCTGCTGGAGAAGGGTCGAGGTTCAGAGCACCTGGCATCAGCACAGGGACAGACTGGTGCCTCCCTACACGTGGGTCACTGCCAGCTGCTTGCCTGTGGCTTGACAAGATGCCTGGGAAAAATTATCATCCAACCCTAAAATCTCTAACATTTGTACAGGGAGCAAAGAATTACATACTATCCATTACACACCAAAGAATATGTATAGTAAATGAAAGTTGTGAAGCACAATATAAAAATGAAAACCCAAGAAACTACCATCTACTTAAGATACAGAGCAGTGCCAACACTGATGATTTAGAAAACAATAAAACTTAAAAAACCAGGATGCCCACTTAAATTTTAATTTCAGAAAAGTAATATTTTTTTGTATAAGTATGTTCCAAATATTGCATGGGACATACTTATACTAAAAAAGTATTTGTTTATCTGAAGTCCAAATATCACTGGGCATACTATCTACTCTGCCAGTAGGTCCTTCCCATCCCAACCTCATTTTGGGCCTCCCACAAAAGGCGACCACTATTCTGAATTTGTTTTACTTAAAAAAGATGTTTACTATATATTTATATATTTCTAAATAATATACTGTTTAATTTTTATTTATTTTTTTTATTTATTTTTTTGGAGACAGAGTCTTGCTCTGTTGCCCAGGCTAGAGTGCAGTGGCCTCATCATAGTTCACTGCAACCTCAAATTCTTGGGCTCAAGCGATCCTCCTGCCTCAGCCTCTCGAGTAGCTGGGACTGCAGGCACATGCCGCCCTACGCCTGGCTAATTTTTCCATTTTTTGTAAAGATGGGGTTTTGCTCTTGCTTAGGCTGGTCTTGAATTCCTGGTCTCAAGCAATCCTCCTGCCTAAGCCTCCCAAAGTGCTAGGATTATAGGCATGAGCCACGATGCCTGGCTTTATATGTTTTTGAGTTTTAAGAAATTGTTATGGCTTTATATCATACGAGTCCAATTACATGTGGCATTCTGAAAAAGGCAAAAAACTATGGAGATAGTAGAAAGATCATTGGTGCCAGGCACTGGTGGATGGAGGGGAGGGTTGAATAGACAGAGCACAGAGGATTTTTAGGGCAGTGAAAATGCTCTGTATGATATTATTGATCTAATGATGGATTCATGTCATTATACATTTGTCCAAACCCATGGAGTATCGAACACCAAGGATGAACTCTAATATAAACTATGGACTTTGGACAATAATGACATGTCAGTGTAGGTTCATTGACTGTAACAACTGCACCACTCTGGTGGGGATGTTGATAATTGGGAGAGGCTGTGCATGTCTAGGGGCAGGGGGGATTTGGGAACTCTCAGTACTTTCTGCTCAGTTTTGCTGTGAACCTAAAACTGCTCTAAAAAAAGGCTATCTTTAAAAAAAATATATATGTAGTCTTTTATGATTTACTTTTTTCACTCCACATTTGTTTCTAGGATTTATTCATGCCAGTGGGTGTAATTGTACTTCATACGTATTCACTGCTGTATAATTTTCCATTGTGTCACTGTTCCATAACTAAGTTAAGCAATTTCCTACTGATGGATGTTTGTGTTGTTTCTGACTCATTATGACAAACAGTGCTGCCGTGGACATCTTTTACCCCGTTCCTTGTGTACATGTACACCAGGTCCCTAGGCAAATATTTCTCTAGGATATGTACAAGGAGTAGAAATGAAGGTTTACAGAATATGTGCATTTTTATCTTTATGAGATAATACCAAATTATTTTCCAAAGTGCTGGTACCAGCAGTATATAAGAGTACTGAGTTGGTCCACATTTTCATCAGCAGGCTTTGTAATTTTTGCCCATCTAGTAGGTGGAATCTAAAATGGAATCTCACTGTGGTTCTAATTTGAATTTCCCTGATTACTAAAGATGTTTTGAGCATTACTGCCTATGTTTATTTGCTAATTGTGTTCCTCCTTCTTTGAAATATGTATTTGTTTTTTGATATTTTCTTTCTTATAGATGTGTAGGAAATCTTTAGAAATGCCTTATACTAACTCCTTGTTAGTTTTACGTGTTACAAATATTCCTTTCAGTTTGTTGTCTTTTCTATTTTCGTTACGATATCCTTTGATTAACAGAGGTTCTTATTTTAATTGATTTTATGAAGCTTTCCTGATTTTTGTGAGTGGTGTGAAGTAGGGTCAAGTTTCTTTCTTTTTGTCCCCCCAATTTGGATCACCAATTTGTTCATGTGCCATTTCTTGAATAGTGCCTCCTTTGCTCACTAATCTGTCATATACCAACTTTCCTTACATGTGTGGGCCTGTTTCTGGATTCTCTATTCTGTTCCACTGATCGCTCTGTTTATCACAGCATTGGTAACTCGGACCTTTTCTTACCCATGCCCTTAGCAACAGTCTTGATGTCTGGCAGACACAGAGATTTCCGTTGTTTTTTCTCATCACATGCTTCATTTGGTACCCACAAACTCTCTGTCTGAGGTTGGGAGATGAGATATTTTTCTTACGTGACAGACAATCATAAGCTTTACCCAAGGTCATGAAACCAAGATAAGACAATACCTGGACCCAGGCAGAGGAGGGGGAGGTGTTGCTCTCCTAGTTGCTCATGTATCAGATGGAAGAGTCAATGGTGTTACTTGTCTTCACAGAACCTTTAAACATTGGGGGAATTGTGGGAACCATTGTGAGCCTCTTTCTGCTGGGACTGGCCGTTATCTCAGGGCTCATGTTGTATTACAGCCCTGTGTTCTGCTGGAAAGGTAAGGGCTTCTCGGGCCCCTTTGCTTCTATTTCAGTGTGGGTGGGGGAAGGAGGCCCTGGTCATGCTCCCACCTGAAGTCCCATTCAATAGGCTTCTTCACTGGGGCAAGATATGCAATAATGAGGCACCTAAGTACCATCCCTGAAGACCCTGTCACTTCTCATGTTGGGTCAGTTTTCTCATGTGTTCCTCTTTTGCAAAGGTTAGCGCTTGATTAAAACCCTGTGTGAGGCTGAAGTGGATGTTACTGGATATTAACTGTCTTTCCTTTCTTCCTTCAGTAGGAAACACTTTCAGGTGAGTGTTCCTTAGATTCAAATCAAAAACCCATCTCCATGATCTGTCATCACTTCTGCTTTGTTTCTTTTCCTAAGAACAATAATGGCAGCTACTATTGAGGACCTGCCATGTGCCAAACCCCGGACCAGGGGCTCCATCAGGCATTATTATAAACTCATAACCTCTTCAGGGTGGTGGTGGTAGCACCTCCATTTTCCAGACAAGGAGACGCAGGCTCAGTGAGGAAAAATTTCTGCAAGCTCATCTAGGAAGTAAACAGCAGTGTCTGCCCTCAGATCCAGGTCTAATTGATTCCAAAGTCTGTGCTGCTTTATGACACCAAGCTTCCGGGTTGGGTGTCACAGGTCTGTCACTGAGATACAAAGACAATGTGTACACATTGAGCCCAATCATTTGTGTATTTGTTTTATTTAATTTTCTAAAGAGAGCTAAAAGGAAGACTAAGTCATAGTCTTACAGGATGTTTTAGAAGACTAGTCTGAATGCCCAGAAGTCTCTCCTAAAAGGAAACCCCAGTAGGGACAAAGTAACCAGTGGGATGTGTACATTTCATTTTCTGAGGAGATTCTGGGTTGGAGCAAAGAATCCTCTCTATGATCCTATGGAAAAACAGGTTCTCTTATCTGTTCATAATGATGGGATACTATTGTTCTGGTACCATCTTTCATGGGAAAATGTTACCTTTACTGCCCTGTTCTGGAGGGCCATTCTCTCCCTAAGTCTGTCGTTCCCTGAGCTAATCTGTCACAGGAGGCAGCAGTGTGGCATAGTGGGACAAGGCTTTGGAATCAGTGGACCTGGGTTCAAATTGCAGCTGTGCCGTTCCCGAGCCCTGTGCCCATGGAAAATTCCTGACTCTCTGAGCCTTCGTCTCATGATCTGTTTCACTGAGGGGGCCGTGAGGATGAAACGAGGATGTCATGCTCCCCGGAGTGTGATTGACCTGTGGCATGCGTTCTTCCTTCTGTAAGAAGTGTACAGTCTGGCTGGGTACACAGCGCTAGGCACACAGCGCTAGGCACAGATAAACTAAGAGCAATTAAGTGCAAGCTGCCAGGCATGGACTCCAAACGCAGTCGTAGTTCAAGGTGGTCGGGGGAGGAAGAGGACTTTACCTAGACCCTACGTAACGAGGAGTAAGAGAGATTCCAGTAAGTGGAGCAGAATAAGAGCATTTCAGAAAAGGAACAGAGCATTTTTATACATGCCATGAGGGGACTCAAATGGTAGATGCCTGGGACAATGTGATCACCTGCCACAGTAGCAGGGGAAAAATAATGAAACACACCCAGCACAAGATACGATCATCTGTGGCGATCTGTGGCACCACTGCTCTGTGAGATTACAACCACACTGCCATCTCATGACTTACCCAAGCTGAACGCATGAAGAATTTTCCATGTTACTAACGGGGTTGCAAAGTATCTAGTGTTTCCTATTCAGTGAGGGCTGAAGTTGGGAACAAGTTCTCTTGTTGATTATTTTCCCCCCTTCGGAAATTAGGAGACAAGACATGGGTGATGTCATGGTTTTGGTGGATTCGGAAGAGGAGGAAGAGGAGGAGGAGGAAGAGGATGCTGCAGAGGAGGAGGAGGAGGGAAGTGAGAGAGAGGAGTTGCCAAAAGAAAGAGCCAAGCATAACCACATTCACAGAGTGACCGCACTGGTGAATGGGAACATAGAACAGATGGGAAACGGATTCCAGGATCTACAAGGTAAAGTCTTCCTCAAAAACACTCTGAACCACTGTAGTCAGCTTCCTAGTAGGAAATCTGCAAGGGGTGAATTTCAGTTTTTAAAGGTTGGGGAAGATAGTTAGTTAAAGTTTAGTTTAGAACTTGAGAATCTGTTATCAACTATCAGTACGAAAATTAGATTGACAAACATTTATCCAGGGCCTGCTCTAGGACAGGCACAATATCGGCATTGTTAAGGAATAGAAAAGGAAGACCGACCGGCTGGTTGTGGTGGCTCACACCTGTAGTACTAGTGCTCTGGGAGGCTGAGGTGGGAGGATTGCTTGAGGTCAGGGATTTGAGACCAGCCTGAGCAAGAGCGAGACCCCGTCTCTACGAAAAATAGAAATATTAGCCAGGCGTCATGGTGTGTACCTGTAATCCTAGCTGCTCGGGAGGCTGAGGCAAGAGGATCGCTTGAGCCCAGGAGTTTGAGGCTGCTGTGAGGTATGATGACACCATTGCACTCTAGGCTGGGCAACAGAGTGAGACCTTGTCCAAATGTCCTAAAAAAAAACAAAAACAAAACAGAAAGGAAGACCAATAGCATCTGTGTACAGAGAGCTTTAAAAGACCAGTTAGGGTGAACAGACTAAAACACACAGGGGAAACAGAAACATAAATCAGATTTAACTAACACATTAAGAGAGGAGGAGAGGAACTGTTACAAGAGGAATTTGGTTGCCTGCTGGATGATACCTTTAAAACTTATCAGACCTCAGAGAAAGGCAAGAGCCTAGAATGGTGTGTTGGTCAGGGGAAGTTTCATGCAACAGGTGGACATGAGGCAAGTCTCTAAGGTCAGTGGACTTGGAATAAATAGAAAGAAGAGAGGGTGTCCCCGGTTAGGGCAGTGGCCTGAGCTGACAGCAGGAAGGAAGTCTAGGCTAGCATTGTGCATGCCTACAGGGTAACAAACAGAACAGATGAAAAGGGAATACACACCCTGTCCTACCTTCTCCTCCCTGAAATCCAATTCTGTAGCTCACCAGGAAAGGACTAGAAATCACTGAGAGGGTTGAAGACTGATAGTAGAAATCACACTATTGAGATCACTCAACAGTTGGTTTATTTTATCCTCTGTGCAGATGACAGCAGTGACCAGCAAAGTGACGTCGTTCAAGAAGAAGATAGGCCAGTTTGAAGAAGAGGATTGTCCATCCACGTCTTCTTGAAAGCTTAGAAAGCTACGTCGAAGATGAACTCTTCACTCAGCTTTGATTTGACTTGCGCCCCTGCCGGGGGCTTGCGTTAGCAATGTGTGGGTCTCTCAGCAAAAAAGGAAAAACACACCATCTTTCCTTCCTTTTTTTTAAAAAAGAAAATTGGTTTGATTTGCTGTAAGTTTTCTCAACAGTGTTAAAAAGCTTTGGGAAAGAGCAGTGTGCGTAGGAAAGCTGCATTTGGTGTCTCAGGTGGCACTTTGCTGTGACTCCTGGCTTTATCCAGGTTGACCTACTGCAAAAGACACTGGTTTGGAGGGAGTAGGGGTGAGAGAAGGACTTGGCCTTGGTGCCCTTTGCCACTATTAAGGGTTTAAAACCAGCTTGCTCCAGCACAAAAGGGAATATCGTGGGGTGACAGGGAAACTTCCTTTGTCACTGCCCAGGTGAGCTTGTGACCAAGGAGGCAGGCAAATGTCAGCTCCCTGGAAAAGGTACCAATGCCAAGCCAGAGGAAGGCAGTTTGGTTCAGGCTTTGGAGTCAGAAACACCTGAGCTGGAATTCAGGCTCTGCTACTTCCTTGTTTCGTGGGCTGGGGCATGTTGTTTTACCTCTCCCTGGGCCTCAGTTTCCTCATCTGTAAAATGGGTGAAATGACACCTATCTTCAGGCTTGTGATGAGGATTAAATGAGGTAATTTGGGAGATAAAAATGCCTAGGGAGGTGCTCAATAGATGTTAGTTATCTTTTTTTTGCCTTCCCTAGTGGAAGAAGAATGTTAAGTGTAAGTTATGAGCTGCTGCCTGCTCCTTTCATTCTGCTTTATAGAATGGTTTCATACAAGAGCATTATCAGAGTGCGCCTGACGATTTTTGTTTCCCTGGAGATATAATTCTTTTCAAAAGAGGTTGGGGCTGATAAGAGGAAGTGCCTTTCATTGTAACCTCACATTTTGCAGAGCTGCATATTTATATAAAAGCCTCCTAGGTGATACACTATGAGCTTTCAGACTTTCCCATTCTTCTTTTCTTCTTGTTGCTTTGAAAGAAGGCAGGAGACACACTTTATAACAGAGTATCTGGTGATAAGAGCTCCTTGGGCAAACCAGTTCATCTGGTCTCAGTTTCTCTATCTTGGAAATGGGAATGGAAAAACTTGTTTCCTTCCTACTTCCTAAGGACATTATGAGAGTACATTGATCGATAACATTTTCAAATGAAAATACCATGTGATGAATTTAGGCTGCCAATGCTTCCAGTAGATCCTTGTACAGTTTTGAGATTTTTTTTTTCTGATTTCATCCAAATTTCTTAAAAGTCAGGGACCTTATAAGGGTGCAATGGATGTGTGCTACGCGTGAAAATTGGACTTGAATTTGCACTCTTTAATGTTGCATATCCTGCAGTAATGAGCAAGACCTAGGGCTTAAAGGGGAACTTTCCTTCTCCTGTACCAGGAGCTGAGACTCCTAAGATGTAGAAGTTGGTTATCTGAAGTAACCCCGCAGGTGTGGTTGCAGGGGAAGGTCTACTTTCTTCGGTGAAGGGATTAAACTGAAGAAAGCACCAAAAGTATGTCCTGTCCCCAGCTCAGGACACTGGGGAAGTTAGTGGACTGCAATTTCCACTCTTCAAGAACAGCTGTGAATCGCAGTTCTACTTGGCTAGGTCTTTCGCTGCGTGGTACCTGATGTGCTTAAGCCTTCTCAACAGTGCAAATTAGCGTCATTTCAGAACAGGATACTTAGGTTGCTTCCGAAGTCACTGAAGACTGAGCTAGTCTCTCCTTGAGAGTCTTCAGTGACTAAATTCCAGAATTCAAGAGTCCGCTATCCAGAGGCAACCAGATTAAAAATAAATAAATAAATCCCTAGCTGGGAACGCAGAGACTGTTTTGCAAGATCGCTGGGATGTTTTTCACAACTTCCTCTTCTCTTGCACACACAATTTATGATAGGAAATATTTGAGGGTTTTTCCACTAGCAAATGGGAACTTCAGGGTCTGGATGCCAAACACTATAAACCCTTGACCAGTAGAGCTGTGACCGTTGTCACTTTTATTTGAGCACTGTGTACACATTAATATGCTGGGTCAGTTAAGAGCCCAGGTACTGGATGTTTTCATGGTTTAAGAATTTTTAACGAATTAGGGCTACTTTAAGACATCCATGCCCAAATCCACAAGCATGTTGACAGTGGATTACGGCATTTGTCTGGCAAAGTCCAAGTTGTTACATTGTGCTTTTAAAAAAATCTTATCTGCATGTATTGTTAAACACTGAGCCCATGAGATCTACTTATCAGAACCAGGAAGAAACACTTCAGGGCCATTACAACTGACATTTCTTTTCCTCAAAACCTGGTGGACCCTGGGCAGGGGGCTCCACAATCCTGTGGCTTTGATATTGGCTCCGATCCTCACAAACACAGGTTCTCTAATTGCAGTGAGAAAACAGGCTGGAAATTTTCCATAAACCATGCCCTGAGACCTGGAAAATCATCCTTGCTGGGTAAAATTTATTATGATGCAATAAGTGCCAACCACTATTTCTCACCATGGGACTGGCCGGGAAAGAAAAATAAGCAGATCCCTTACATGTTAATATGTGGTGGGGAAGGCTGGGAGAAATTCATCCTGAGGTTATAATAATGGATTTTTTAAAAAAGATAATGGAATAAAGTTATTTTTAAATACATGCTTTAGTGATCTTGATTTAGCCCTGATTAGTAAATGAAAAGACTGGGAAAAACAAATTTGCCAAAAAAAATTATATTTTTACTAGTTTTCTAATATTGGTAACAATATTGTTCCTTTACCTCTTTTTCTTTTCCATGAGTTATACATAGAAATGACCTGAAGACACCAGGAAGGGAGCATTAGGAGGCAAAAAATGGAAACTGCGGAGAAAATTGAAGAGACATATGGGAGGGGGCGGTGGAAGTAACGAGGCTGGAGAGCACAGCAGATGGGAGCTGAGGTGGAAGAGGCTGAAGATAAAAGTGGACGCTCAAAGACAGGTAGCTGGGCCGGTTTCTGTTTTTTTGAGACGGGGTCTCACCATGTTGCCCAGGCTGGTCTCAAACTCCTGGCCTGAAGCCATCCTTCCACCTTATTCCGCCTTCCAAGGCGCTGGGATTACAGGTGCGAGCCACTCCGCTGGGCCTGGTTTTTTTGTCTGTTAACTGGGAAAGCAGAAAAAGAAATGCCCAGTGGAAAATGGAAGGTGAAAACGGGCAGCCAGAGAAAAAGGGAGATTCGAGAAACAGTGGGGGTCCAAAAATGGACCAGTGAGGTGAACACTCAGGAGAGTAACCCTGGAACGAGGTGCTCGGGGACCCGGAGGACAGAGGCCAGACGGGCAGAGGTAATCGAGGGGCTCATAAAACAGGGGTCTGGTGAAAGAAAAAAAAAAATTACGACGGAGGGATGGGGTGAAAAAGAACACGGGTACCTGAGGTCATGGTAGGACACACAGATTGGGTTAAAACGTTTCAAATGGGACGGCTGCGATGAGGAGCCGCGGACCAGTGACGTAAAGGAAGGACGGGGCAAGGGGGAGAGGCGCGAGAACGACCTCAGGCTGGCACCGGGACGAGCAGAGGGAACGGCCCCGACGCCCTCAGGTCGGGGTGAGGGAGGACGCGCTGGGGACCACAAAGACCCCGGCTACGAGAAGGCGAGCCGCCGGCTCCAAGCGAGACTCGCGTTGGAGGACACACGGGGGGAAGGAGGGCAGGGACCGCAGGGTGATGAGCACAGGTGAAGGGGTCGCGGGAGGCACAGAGGACACCCTCCTTCCGACCCGTCCCCGCCTGTGCCACCCTGCCCTCCTGCCCCACCCTCGCTTCCCCTTCCGTTCCCGCTCCCGCCGCACCCCTCACCCTCGCCCGGCTCCTACGCCTCGCGTCGTTCCCTTCGCCCTGCTTTCTACCCCGTCCTCCCACCCTCCCCGTGTCCCCTAAGTCGCGCTCTCCCCCGTTTTTTCTCGGCCAGCGTTCCCTCCGCCCCATTTCTCCCACCCCCGTTTTCACCCGTTCCCCCCTCAGGCCCCGCATTTCCCTATTTTTACCCGCTCCCCACCCCGTTTTCGCCTCGGCCCCGCTCCTCCCACTCCTCGATTTTCGCCTGGACCTCGTTCCATCCCACGCCCCGTTTTCCCCTCAGCCCCGCTTCCCCGCTCTCACCCCCC